AGAAAAGCATTGGACCGACATGTCTTCGATTCAAACTGAATAATGCTCAGTGAACAAAGTCCTGAGCAATGTAAAAACCTCTTGGACAATGAATGATTTTAATTAAATATCTTCGTATTATCAAATAGATTCTTTTTGATTTATTCAAATATAGTTTAAACAATATTTATTTATAAAATATACATCTTCTAAATATAGTATTAAATCCGGCAAATAGTTTATCAATAGAATTTTTAGCCTCATAATACTAAATGTTAATAATCATATTAATAACTAGAGCAAAGCTCGTTGCTAAGCAACGAGTAGGTCTTCCGTCCTGTTTGACCGGAAGTAGCTTTCATTTTTAACAAAAATGAGAAATAACGCCCAAAAATGCTTTGAATCCTCTAAAGCTATGTAAAATTAATGCAAAAATAAGCCATTTTTTGCTACTTCAGGTTTCATCGGAAGTGACAAAGACGCACGAAAAATTAATTTTTAAGCTCCCAGAGACATATGTTGCCCAAAAACTTGTCAAAAACGGCAAAAGTAAGCGTTTTCCGACTACTTCCGGTTTGGCAGGAAGTGACGACGCTGGACGTATTTTAACGACTCCATTAGATTAAGCTTGACATTTTCAACAACTTTGCATCTTTGATGTATGACAAATTCTCAATACTTTTTGAGATATCTGGAAAAAACTTTTGGCCCCTCTAGATCCCTTAATTTAGGGGTCAGCCCTTTTTCCGACATATCATTTGAAAGAACTTTTAATTCTGCACAAATTATGTTCTATATATTTTAACAAAATATTTTTAGTTTAGAAGATAAGAAGCAAAATATGAGTATTTTTTTGTTCTTTTAAGCGTTCTAATTTTTGACCCCTATATAGCGCCATTTTGAATAGAGAAATCGAAAAACAAAAATCGATGTGCACAACTTCAATCCTTTCATTATCTAAAATCAATAGAATTTCTGCTCCAGCTTTAGCCGTCTCTGAGCCTTTGTCTGGAAACGAAAGCCTATAAATTTTCGTTTAAAGGAAAATAACTCAAAACCGGAAGTGACTTTTTGAAATTTTAGTCAGCATTCTAAAAGAGTTTATAAACGTCTATAACCTCTGAAAATTTGAGCGAAATCCGTTGAGAAATGAGTGAGATATGAGCCTCAAAGTTGCGGTCTAGGAAGCAGAAGAAAAAAAGAATAATAATCTTTACCAATAGAATCAGTAGAGGGTCTTCCGTTGGAAACGAAAGACCTTAATTAAGGTAGATCGCGGGTTTACTGTCTGCCTGAAAACATACTCTGAAAATTTGTCAACTGAATCCTCTCGTTTCAAATTTTACTTTCTGAAATTTTTGTGAGATTCGTCTGCGTGGTTATTTTGTTATCGTACTTCAAAGGCACTAATGTTGATGAGAAATGGTGACGCTATTACAATGAAATATATAGTAACTGCGCCTTTCTCACCGGTAAACGTATTTCAAAACCATGTTTATAATAAGAAAACGGCGCAGACGAATTTTATATTACTCAACACCATGAATGTGAGATAAATTTAGAATCGATTTATTAAAAAAAAATTTATATGTGTTCTCGCTCATTTTCTCACAAAATAACTTTAAAGTTTTACAAATTTGTAACAAATGTATATAATTTCAGTAAGACGTTATATAACGTTAGAGCGACGTCATTATTTTCGTACGCCTCAGAATCACAATGTAATCAACAATTCACTGAAAATAAAACATGTTTTATCCGTATTTTCAATTTTTAATTGATTGACAATAAATGTTCATGTAAACAATGTCATAATTTACCTAAATTATCACACTTTTTTTTAAATGAAACACAGAGTCATGTTATTTGAATCAATTTTGACCTTTCATATTTTAACTTTATGTTAACTCTTAATTTAATTTAGTATTGATTAGTTATTGATTAATCCTTTACTTTTTATTGCATATAAATAATTACTTTTACAGACAAAACAAGGTTAAATGTTTGTTTTATTTTATGATGCATACTGATGGAAATACTTTTTGCTTGTTTGTAGTTTGATACTGTAAACGTAATATTACAAGGTTTTTACGTCGAATCCTATTGTGACGTCAGCAAACCCGCGATCTACCTTAATGATGATATTAAACTTTCTTATCCATAAATGATATAATACCGGTGTTTCCTGCGCATATATATTGTAACAAAAATAAAATGATAAAGCATGAAGATGGGTATGGATATGCAGAGTAATAATTGTTTAAAATTTTCACTTTAAAGTACATGTTACATGCTTAAATACCATATCAATCCAAGCATGATTGCATGATACAGTGCTAAATGCAATGTGCTTGCATTCTCATTCCATGACTTTTGTTTACGTAATGAAAATAAAAAATTGTATTATTTTCTTAGAAAAATTATTATTTAAGAATTTAAAAGTCTTTTTTAAATGATCGAAGCCTCATTTTTATCCTTTTCTTGTTATTTTCAGATAGTACGGCATTTTATGCTTTCCTTTCGCGTGATGTGAGCGGTTCTCGAATTATCTTTTACAACGAAACGCTAGACACGCATGATGCTTACTCCACGTATACCGGGACGTTTGTGGCGCCTCGTTCTGGTCTGTACGTTTTTATGATGTCAGGACTTATCTATGGAAGTTACGAATTCAGTTGCAAGTTTGTATTCAGTAACGGTAATTCTCAGCCAGAAGTTTGGGTAGACTCGACCAACGGTAGGTACGATAGCAGTAGTTACATGACATTTGCCTGGATGAACTCTGGCGACTACGTGTATATCGGCGCCCAGAGGATGAATGCCACGTCCATGTTTGCAGGATGGCTGCTGATGGATGATACAAACGGTAACTTTGATATTTTTTTCATCATTGTATACTAAATAAGAAAAAGGTATTTTGAAATCAATAAATATAAAAAAAAAACTACAGGTGGAATTTAAATTCATGAAAATGACACTGGAAATATAAAATAAAAAATGTAATTATATGATCCGTATTTTCCTTTTCTGGCGTGATAAGTTACAAATAATTTTTTGGGACTTTAAAAATTTGTAAAACTTTTATCTCGTTTGAAACATGATTTTAAATCTTGTCTATCTTTGGGATGTATCTGAATCTGTTGCGTACTTTGTCCTTCCGATACACTGGAATACTTTCATATTGGGCTTAAGATTTTGAGATTACCGAGTTGTATTTTATCTGATATTCCTATTTCCCCCCGTAGTATTTGAGATTGAACTTATCGACACAATAAGGAAAATATATTTTGTTTATTTTTTATTTATAAGATTTTTGCAGGCATTTATTTGTACCTTTTTTGTGAAAAGCTGGCTTTGTCAAAACAGTCGATATTATTAAGAAAAGAAATGGATCAACTATGCTTATAGATTACGGAATATTAAAAATTCTTTTCAGTTAGTTACCGATTGTTATTCTCCTTCAGTTTTCTAAATATATTTCAACTTTCAAAAGACAGATAAAACATAAAAGAAAAATAGGTGGCTAAATGCACATTATCTTTCAGTTTTTTTTTTTCGCATATACTTATTTACTTCAAAGCTTATCTGATTTTTTGAATATTTTTTGAAGATCTTGAATTTACATATGCTCACAAATAAAATGGTGATGGAATAAACTGAATATATATTTTCTATCAATTACAATTATGGAATTTACACATACTAACAAGAATAATTAAGATGTAGATTCTCTGCATCGATAGTTATTATTATGTAATCCATGAATTTTGCATCACATTGCAGTTTTTTTTATTTGCAACTATTTTTTACTTTATTTCAAGGGTTTCTGTCACAGCTACTGAAAAATATAAAGGCAGCTCGTAGGGAATACGCATCCTTCATTATACGTTATCATTACTAAATTCTATAAAAATAAACACAAAGCAATAAATACTACAAAGATAAATGTTAATGACTTTTATTATTATCATTATCATCATCGTTGTTAACGTTGTAGGTAACATTTCCAAGTCGTATTTTCAGAGAAATAAAGGAAAAAGATGAATAAAAAAATCTTCAAACACAATAATATGAATTAAACAATTATATTTTGTTTTTGATACCCTCATAATTTTTTTCTTTATTTTCTTTTCAGTGTCAAAATCAAATTTTCCAGCTTTTCTCGCTCATATAAGTGGTGACAGGTTCAGTACTCCAGTTGTTTATGATACAGCTCACGGTGGTTATCACCATGGGTACTCAACAAGCACCGGAGTATTCACTGCTGATCGTGATGGGCTTTATTTGTTTCTGTATAATACTGAAGGTTTTAACGAGGTTGTACGTACTGCGCTGAGAGTAAACGGACTGGAAATTTTCGAATCGAGGTCGGACGGACGTCGCACTGAATATGACCACACCTGTGCTGTCACTGTTCTTAATCTATCTTCAAACGATCGTGTCACTATAGTTGTTAAATCTGGGACAGTTGATGGGGGGCAGTCGCTGTTTTTTGGCATACTTCTTTTTGAAAACTGATTTTTTGGCATTGATTTTATTTTATATTGAATAAAATTTAAGATGGAAACATAATATCATGAAGCTTATATAAGCCATTCCATATCTGTAATTATATGCATATATCATTATTTCAATCATTGAGAGGAATCTCCTTGATCTGATTTTTTCTCGTGACACTCCTGTCCTGAAAAATAATAGTCATAGGAATAATGAGTTTGAACAACTGAATTAAGAGGTCAATGGTCCACAATATTCGCATTATGACTCTGTGCAATTTCTGAGGAAGATTTCATATTAAAATGACTATACACTTTCACTATTCTTTAATCTTTACAACGGCAACACCGCCGATGACATCACATAGAAAAGATTTCCGTCAGAAAAATAGCTCTAACTAGCCTCAGAAAAAAAGTTTTAATGAGCTCTTGGATTAGGTGAGCTTAAAGTCATTTATATATTTGGCGTGTTTCAAGGTCATTTGATACTAAACTAAAGAAAGTGAAAGTATAATGTACTTACAAAATGTAATGACCTCAACAAATACACAGCTCTTAAACAACCATGAAGAATATTTGACTACTCTTAGATTTCTTTACTACTTAAGAATTTGCATGAAAATTATCATTTCATGTTTAATTTTAATGCACAATACCTTTCCACACAGATCAGCCTTCTCTCCAGGTGACAAATTTTTATAATCATACTCAATGGAAGAGATGATGCATATGATACCAATGTTTTTTTTAAGATTATGATTAAGATTTCTACAATATTTCTTCAGAAAGAACATGTGTTTGTACAATAATTGATACAATATTGAGGATAGACTCTTGTTTCTTTTTATAGCAACAATGGTCTAAAAATAGATTCTTCGAATTATCGAGAAAATCTTGATTCCAGCACTTTTTCAGGCAATGTTGAATGGAAAATATGCAGACCAACTGTTGTAAACCTAGTGTGACTGACAGTTACTAAAATTCATTCACTGAAATACACGTTATCTGAAGGGGTTCCCTTTTCTATTTATAGCACAAAATTCCTATAAATAGAAATATCCCGGCATATGGAGGAAAAAATGACAATTTTTCACCAGTTGTAGGCTTCTGTGAAAAAGTATTTACAAAATATACTGCTGTATACAATACGTAATGAACAAGAACAGTGGGCCAATAAATAATTGACACAATAATGACGATGGACTCTCTTTTCTTGTAATTTTTGCAAAATTTTTGATGAAGCTTCCAGTATGTAGAAAGTTTTTATTTTAGCTCTTATACTAAGACTTATCTAAAATTTTTCTGGCTAAAAATAGAAATTGGAACCCACTTGAATTTTAGTCACAAAATGCATATACATGTAATAGAGAGTATTCAAATTCTCAATCCATTATGTCTGAAGTAGTAATAATTATTTCAATAGTGGTCGTATTTCAATAGAGGTTACTTACTATATCTTGTCCACTCCAGCTAGTGGTGTCTTGCTCCTGTCATTTGCATCTTACATTTTACAATGCACTTACTATTTATCAAGCCATGATATCTAAAGCTTTGCCAAAATTTGATTTTTTTATGTTTCTAAAACAAATCTATTTATAAATGTATGTTACTAAAAATAGGATTAAAAGCCCGACTTTAATTTTTCATGGGATGACACTACTAATTCTAAAGTATAAAAACACACATAAGATTTGGAAATTTTCCACGGACAATTTTTCTCATTTGACTTTAAAGATCTCACAAAATGCTAAATTTCCCTTTTTTCAGATTTTCAGAAACCATGTCAGTGTTCATGACCTTTTTCTTAGAGTGGGGATATTTCTAGAATAAATAATTATATGCTCAGTGTACCTTAAAGGTTCATGTTATCATATGACTGAATGATTTTTGTTTAAGTATATTAGATACCGAAAAAAACATATGTTTACATTTCCTCAATTTTCTTGTTTTCATTTGATCAAAAATGGCCTAATTCAATGGATCCATCTCCATTGCAACCGAGTGCATGTGTGGAACTTCTGACACCATATTTGCAAGTTTTGTACCATGACACAACCGTGATGCAAATTTCATCAAAATCCGAGAAATGTCGTTTCCATGATTGTTTTTTTTTTTGTGCTTACAAAGAATGTGTGTTAATACGTAAGTCTCCGTTAGGCTATGCACAACTTTTGTGAAGTCCTAAAGGTATAGAGTGTCCAATAATTTGTTAAAATGTTTAATTTTTTGTATCATTATCAAATACATTTTTTACTTTTTTATCTCACCTGAGCCGAAGGCTCAAGTGAGCTTTTCTGATCACATTTTGTCCGTAGTCCGTCCGTCTGTCCGTCCGTCCGTCCGTCTGTAAACTTTTCACATTTTCAAATTCTTCTCAAGAACCACTTGGTCAATTTAAACCAAACTTGGTACAAAGCATCCTTGTGGGATGGAGAGTTTAAATTTTTAAAATAAAAGGCCAGGTCTCCTTCCAAGGGGAGATAATCAAGAAAAGACAAAAATAGTGTGGGATCAATAAAAATCTTCTCCTAAAGAACCACTGGTCCAGGAAAGCTTAAACTTACGTGGAAGCATTCTGAGGTAGTGTACATTCTAAATTATTAAAATCATGACCCCCGGGGGTAGGGCATGGCCACAATAGAAAATCTAAGTTTTACATAGAAATATATATAAAAAATCTTTAAAAATCGTCTTCTCAAGAACCATTGGGCCAGAAAAGCTGAAATTAATATGGAAGCATCCTGGGGTAGTGAAAAATCTAAATTGGGGGTAGGGCGGGGCCACAATAGGAAATCCAATTTTTACATAGAAATACATAGGAATAATCTTTAAAAATCTTCTTCTCAAGAACCAGTGGGCGAAGATAGCTGAAACATATGTGAAATCATCCTGGGGTAGTGTAGATTCTAAATTGTTAAAATCATGACCCCCGGGGATAGGACGGGGCCACAATAGGGAATCCAATTTTATTATAGAAATATAAAGGAAAAATCTTCTCAAGAACAAATGGGCCAGGAAAGCTGAAACTTAGGTGGATTCATCCTGGGGTATTGTAGATTCTAAATTATTTAAATCGGGAGGAAGGGTAGTGGGGGGGGGGGTCAGAGGGCCACAATAGATATAAGAAGAGGAGAAATCTGGTAAAGAACTGCATCACAAAAGTTACTCAGGTGAACGATGTGGGCCATGGGCCTCTTGTTTCTCTATGGTCATTAAATTATGTATTGGAACTTGTGTATTGATTGGTAATGTACATGTATCTTGCGAGACCCCAGCGAAGTTTCCTTATATAAATATTGAATATATATTTATTTGTCCATGCATCATAAGATGGACAGTGAAGGTTGATAACCAAACACTTGTCTACTGTTGTAATAAAATAAGCAACATATCCATATTATCCTGGGCACGTAGGCCGTGCCCCCTCCCCATACCCCTAATATGTTTTACCGATATTATGTGCTATAGAAAACATAGAAATTTATTCTTGTTTTCATTTAAATATAACTTCCAATAACCATGATAAACCCTTTTCGGGGGGGGGGGGGGGGGCTTTACAATTATTATTTTTTTTTTGTTTATTTTCTACAGGTCTGAACAAGAAAATCATTATCTTTATTAATCATATATGTTTCAGTCGTCTGTATTCAAAAAGCTTTCTGTTGGTTCCACAAACTTGGTGACTGTCCACTTTCTAATATTGTGTCACAAGCTTTATCCACTTTGAAACCCGTATTACTATGATTATGGTATAAAATAATGCAATTTAAAAGAATTGCACCAACATGTTGTTTCAAAAGTTACTTAATATTGAATAAAGGCCAGATACACACATTTCAGTACAAATGTTCAAGAAGGATAATGAAGATGAAATAGAAAGATCGAGAAAGAGGAGACGACTTATTGAGGAAAGTAAAGATAAAACGATGGGTGAAGAGGAAAGTATATTTTCTGATTGCATTGATTGCTATTATTTATATTCCATTCGAAAAAAATTTCATTCATATAAAGACGTCAAAATATACCAGTGAATTGCTTCAAATTTAGTTCTTAACTTGGCAGTTAGGATCATCGCGCTTTGTGCCGCCTCGCTGTGTTCGCTATTATTAATTGTTTTTTTTTAAGGGGGAGCACCTGTTACTTACCCAAGTGCTCTTTATTTTGGAGTGAAATTTAGATCTTTCAGGTGAGAACTTTGAAACACAGTGTTAGTAATTGCAAAAACCCAATAGTTGCTCAATGACCCCTGAATGTTGAGGGAAAAAAGCACTTCATTCGTATCTGGTCACGTTTCATATGAGAGAACTAATTTTGCAAAAGACGAATAACTATGAACGTAAATAATTCAAATGCATATAATGAATTATCATAAACAACAAACAAGTTATATAAACGTACTTTAATTTACTTTATTCCAAAACGTCAGAAAATTAAAAGAGACGCCATCCTGAGAAAGACGTTCGTGCTCTGCCATTACTGTTTACCACACCCCATCCGTTTTCATGCATACGAATATAGACATGATCTCCAACATTCCCTTCGACAATAATAAGACCAGCTCCTTCGTCCCAATTTGTAGGATCGCCATGAGCAAAGACAGATCCAACAATTTGCCCATTGACGACTATCTCACAGAGGCAAAGCCTCCGTTTATTTCTGCAACGGTCGATGCAAAAACATAAACTCCTGATCTCGGCAAAATAAATATACCATCGTCCTTGTGATAACCTTGACCTTTGTTGACCTTGACTGTGTCAAAGATCAAAGTGTGATGTTCATGAAGACTAGAAGCTGTATCTGTTGACATGTAGGCATGGAGAGCTACGTTCTCTACAGTAGAATCAGGGGTTCTTGAAACTGATTCAATGAAATAAAGTATAATTTTGAGTTTGAGAGTTACAAAATTGGTAAACTGATAAAAACTCAGAATATGTATCAAATAAACAGATTTTTTTAAGAAAACAACATAAGAAAAGTGTTCAGAAACCAGACACTTACGTACACAAAAATGTAAGTTATTATCGAAACTGTACTGATCCAATCACTGAATAAAATTTTCCGAAATTCAGTTAAAAATTATTCTACCTATTCTTTTTCCTGACTCTTTAATTGCAAATTGTTGACCCATTCCATAGTTCTTTGTTCGATTTTTGGATAGTTCTCTTTGTGCATGTCGGTAATTCTGGCTTCCACTAAAACTTTTCGAGAGATTTGCTGTCTGGGGACGTATTTGGACATTCTTCCGGTTGTTCTGAATACCACTGACAGTTCTTTCAAGATTTTCAACCTTTATCGACAACTCAGTGTTTCTTCTGTTGTTGTCTTCCACCAATGTCTTTAGGGCCTGATTTTCCTTCAGGAGTTGGTCATTGATTTTCATGTACTGTTGTAGATTCCTCTCCAGAGAAGATAGGCGGGCTTCCGTTGTCGTCTGCCAATCATCATTTTCAGGGTTGGTCACATGACTTGCGGAAAAATGAACAGTCAATGTTATTAAAAACAGAGACGTGGTGACATCCATTTTATCGTTTTCACCTCCTTCTTGCGTAATTCTATGTGTTGTCTTCGGTTTGAGCTTACTGATAAGATAAGAGGACTTCTATTGCAGTGAAGTCACACAATCCTACCGAATTAAATGCTATATACATATAAACAATTTAAGCACCTGTTTGTACATTTAGAAGTCGAAATCAAGAATAGATGAACCAAAAGAAAAACGAAAAACTACCCTCTAAATAAGTATCTACCTTCAACTAAAAAAAACACACATGTCAATTTTCTTACTCGTTCATTTATTTGAAGTAAATTAAAGGACTTTTTAATATATTGAATGATGTAACAAAATAAAAAAAAAATGACAAACAAACTAAAATGAGTTTATTTTGTCATATTCACAAATATCAAGTTATCTGCAAATTCGTGCTTAAATTAAAAATGTTAAACAGTTCCTATTTAGAAGATCAATACTTTATATAACCTTCTTTTATCCAAATAACTGCTAATATTTTGTTTGGCACACAACTGTCCTTTTGAACATATTTTCTTTAATCAAATAAAATTTTCAACCTGACTATTTTAGGCCTGTTGCAGATTTCATTTGAAATAATAAATTGTGTCAAAAAGGACACTACGAATCAAATGTTGACACCCGACAACAAAGATACGAATCCATTCCTTTACAAAATTTTGTTCCAGATCCTTCAAATACATGTAATAGTATTTTACAATTTTAATTGCAACTCTCAAGTCTCTTAACATTTTCTATGGGATCTAAATCAGCTTTTTAGAGGCCATCCAAGATAACTCATTTTTTATAACTCCTCCATGGCACCTTATCCCACCTCTGATGTTTCGGAGCTCCTATTTTGTATTGTTTATCGACTTTGAGATTGAATACTGTTCGTTATCTCCTCACCCTTCTCCACTGCTTTACAGCATTTCCTCTGTGGCACTGGGAACTGTCATCTTCAAAAATAAAGTTTAATATCATCATATGCAAGGAGATGTGCTTAAGGAATTTCAGAGTAAACAAGAATGTCTAAATATCCATTTTTGTTGTACCCTTATAAATAGCTTTCTATATATTTATTACTAATACCAAGTCCAACAAGAGAAATTTTTATTACATCAGTCAAATTTCACTACTGACCGGTATGGCGGTCAAACATAAGAATTGTTATACCGCAACGTCACTGCTACGTCACAAGTAATTAATCATCGTTCAATATCTGCGACACGGAAATAGCCGAAGTTAAGAGCTGCAAGTGTTGTTGCTAATAGCAAGGTAAGGAAGAAGGGAAGAATATGATTTTTGATAATAATTTTTGTGATATAATAAAAATAAAATTGATTTTGTTCATTCGCATCTTAATGTTTCATATTTACTGATTAAGCCATAATCTTCCACATAAACTAATTGATAATATAGCGTATATTGATCAGATCTGAAATGAGCAGGGAAGGGTATAACAAAACAGTTTTAGACTGGGATTCGGTCAACAAATGATTTGTCGGACCTGAAGGTGAAAATGTTGCCCTTGGCTTGCGGCCTTGGGCAACATTTTCACCCTCAAGTCCAACAAATTATATATCGTCCTCATACCCATTCAATAACTGTATATTATCGGCATTTCTCTTGACTGGGGTTAAGTAATGACATCATACTCCAAACAGTCACACTTCAACCGCCAGATTATTTAATCTATAGGTACAATACAATTGATTTTTGTATGCCTCATGTCGACGTCACTGAAAAACTGATGATTGCTAAAAATTCTAATCACTTAAGGAAATTTGTCACAACACATCGATCTAATTTTTCGATTTCAACAATGCTCTACTCTACATACCACGCTGGATTAGGTATACCAGTGTTGTTTCTATGTTATATAAATGTGTAACATGATGGGCTACTATCCCGAACCCTACTACACCGTTCATATTGCTTCCATATATTTTACTGCCAAGGTCGACCATTTGACTGTTTCACCCATAAAATAAATCAAAGTCATTTTTGAATCCAAGAATATCATTCCCTCAGCTCCTCGCAATAAACAATGTTTTATTATGAATAAACATAAAACGATTGGACAGCAGGCATTGTGTATATAATTCTTCTCCATGATAAAAAGATCAAGGTCATAAATGTACAAGTTAATATTAGCTACATAACATTGGTTAATATAAATATATACATGCGTATTTTCAATGGAAATGGATATGAAGAAGAGGCTAAGTGGAAGAATAAATAAATATAAATGAGCTGATGATATAATTTAAGTTAACTTTGTATTTCAACATATATGACTGACATAAAAATCACTGGGTGTGGAGTTGATGGCAAAATCACGAATTAGCGCTTCAAATGCACGTACCCTGTATTGTAATTTTCATTTCTTTTTTAACCACATTTATGAATTACGGCAAAAATATGTGTGTGCTTAAGCCGAAAAATATGAAGCCCGCTTTTTAACGTACACAAAAACTATACAGGTCGAGTTGGAATTAGAGTTCCATAAAATACGCCATGGATCTTAACTGACTATAGACAACGGTGAGCAAGTAACAAAAGACTGTATGACAAATGGATTTTTTTTCCATTCTCAGCAGCTTGTATATTCTAGCTATAGTCTTTATAATGAACTTGTTAGCGATTGCAACCTTTTATGAATTGTATTTTGCCTGGTTTGTCTCATTTGTTATCTAAGAACTTTTATGATATGGTATTCTCCTTGTAAATAACTTTTTAATGAATCTGATGTAAATAGTAAATTGATGTGATAAATAAGAGAACATATAAATCCATATCCAAATCCAAAATCTGTATATTTAAATCTTCCTTTCAACATTAGTTTTATTTTGTAATCTTTGGTTGGTGTATTTTTGTTATATATGTGTTTGGACGGAAGATAGTATTAGCGAATTTTCATTTTTGAGAGTTTTCTTCCGGCCTTGTTTCTCTGGGTTAAGATCTTAAGATTTGTCTTAATCTTAAGAAAAGGCCATCGTGCTGAGGTTAACCTTTGCACAGCCGTTTTTCTTCCTTTTTTGTCCATGAACGAATGGATGCCAGAAATAAAAGATCTCAGTATACTTATCTTTCTTTTTTCAATGCTTTTAGTTATTTATTATAGCTGTAATTCATCCCTAGATCTTTTCGTTCTCAGAGTTCTTTTAACTTTCATTTTTCTTGGTTTTTCTTCTATCAGACGTTAGAACTATTTTAGGTTTTTCTATTCATATTGATATTTCCGTTAAGCATTTTAATTTTTGACCTTATTATCACATTGTTTATGCTTAAATTCTGTTGTTCTTTAATTTTAATTTTTAAGGTATTAAGTATATAACATGTATCTGTATACTGAATATTCAAATCTGTATTAAAAGCGCTGTATTAAACATATGCTTTGTACTATAGACAATACAAGAATGTAAAAGTTATTGAATATCATTTTCACAGCAGAGGAAGGGGTTCAAATAGGAGGAACTGTAAGATTAATATGCAGTTTTATCCCTGTAATTATAATATTTGCCCAGAGAAAATTTAAGTGATTTTGCTAATCACTAAGACCAGCACTCCTTAAAAGAGACCTGAAAATTTTTTATCGTATTTGTCTAATAAACTATATATCTAATCATGATTTAAAATAAATAAAGGTACCAAGTGCTCTACACCCTGCTTGAGAACACACGTATTGTTGCTTTTTTGAAAATTTAAATTCCGTTCGCTACTTCCTTTCCCAACAGATAAGGCATCTAAAAAAAATTGTTTGTTTCGATATTATGCCTTGAATAATGAAAATTTTAAATGAAATGTTACATGAATAGGAATTTGACTATTATTGAGTCACACAGTTATAAATGGTAATTTTTTTAAGCATATGTTTTTAGTGTAATATGGAATGATCCCAACTTAAGTATGTCATCCAGCTGAAACACTCAACAATTAAGATGGGGTCATGTGTTTAAGTGAATTATACTGAAAAATAACGTGTTATATTCTTCATTGCAGTAACTGATCTTCATGCTTACTCTAGGGTAAGAATGAGAGCTAGTTTTTTTTTACATTTTGTTTCAAAGGTTTTGTTTTAAAAATCATTTTTGACATTCCAAATTCTAAGCATTTCTAAAGGAAATAGCATCCAAATCGAGATGAACCCCAGCATCCCACAAAACTCCATGTATATTTAAATTGTAAGTCCGAAATATTATGGATTTGTCTTATTGCATACAAAATCTTTTCTTAAACACCATTTTACAATTTAAACATAATTTTATCTTTTGTTTAAGTTTCTTTTCCTATTCAATATTTTTTATTAAAATATGTTTTGATATTCATGGTGATACCTGACCAAATTGCTTTCCATGCGGTAGCTTACAGTAATTCCGGTCCCGGGGTGGTCATTTTCGATCACGTGATCTCAAATATTGGAAGCAGATACGACAGTAGCTCCGGGATTTTTACTGTACCAACAACAGGTTTTTATGTGTTTTCTTGGAGCATAGAGACTTACGAACAGTTGACTGAGGCTGCGCTTTTAGTGAACGGAATAGAGATTAGAATATCTAAGTCTGACGAAATCGCCTCCTACTACGACACAATTACTTCCTTCGCCATCCTAATCCTTATCATTAAGGGCAAAGTCTGGGACAAAGTCAAAAGCGGGCGAGCAGAAGCGATGCAAACCATGTTTTCTGGATGGATTATCAATCAAAGAGGTAAGATGTTTCATCCTCAATCCTTGCTTTTTTTAAATAGTTTAATCCCCTCTATGCTGCAAGTAAATAAAACAACAGGGAGCCTGCAAATTCCGAATAAACAAGAGGACGGAGCTATCATGTCAATCATTATTTCCTATGTAGTTTGTAACATGAGCTTTGATTGGTTACAGAGTTGGGTGTAAATATCCGTGCACCCGACTTGAGCCGGTTGTAAATAAAACGTGACGTCACAATGCAACAGTTGTTCTATGATAAAAAGCAAATGACATGAGGTCACGATGGAGAACGCAGTAAATCTTATCGATCGGTTGAGACACAGTCGATTGGAGTTAAAAATTATTCTACGGCCTCAGAGTGTATGGAATAAAACACCCTTGATTAAACATGGATATATAATAGAATCTATTTTGCCCATGAGTAAACAAAGCAGTCCCAGAATGCAGTCCCAAAAACAGCTGGAACTGTTGGGTCTGCTTTTTATAGCTTAATCAGTCCAAGCGCCGTCCCATAGCGGTCCCAGAGCAGTCCAACAGCAGTCTTAGAGTGATTCTTCAGCAGTCTCAAGACGGTTCAAAGTAGTTCTAGGTAGTAGTAGTTGTACATATATTTTCTAGGACTGCTTGCATGTCAGGTTAGGTCTGATTGGTACTGTACCGGTCAATGGCTTCAAATTTTGACCTTTCACTTTGGGCCATTGAGCAGTGAGGGTTATTTATCGTGCCAACGTCTACCGTGACATGGGGCCTCGGTTTTTAAGGTCTTATCCGATGGACCCGCAACTTTCACTTCAAAGTGCCGAGCACATGGCGAAGTAACAGTTGCTAACCATTTTCATCGACTTAGTTCAGTTTCGCCCGAGATTCGAAATCATGACCTCCCGATCACGAAGCAAGCTCTTATACATGTATATATAATGTAAATTCCTGTTAATACACCTTAGTAAATATAAAAATATGTAACTCGTAACGTACTTTAATAAAATATGTTTAGTGTAATTTACTTAAGATATATATCTTTCTCCGAACCCAAATTTTATTAAATGATTTAATGCTTAAAGTCCCTGCATATTGAGAGTAATTGTTTTAATAATAAATCGACACTAACACTGTAAATCCAGATTTGTAGTTTTATTGTCTACATAATTATGTAAGTAGGTAACACAGACATTAAAGCATGTAGTACATACTACTGTATTAGATTTGAGTTTATATTCAAAATGTGAGTGTTTTTGATGTTGTAAATTTTGTTTTCAGGAATTTATTTTTTCCGCGCTCGGAATAAAACACTACTCAAAAAATGTAAAGTCAAACGTTTATCGAATTTGGTGATTAGAAACTATGAAGGAACTATGAAGGAACATCAGTGCAACAATTCCCATTATATATTCTTATTTTTATGCCAAAGTAAACGAAGTTTTGGGGGTATATAGATTTTGTCGTGTTCGTCCGTCTGTCTGCGTCTGTCTGTCTAGCTGTCTGTCTGTCTGTCTCTCTGTCTCTCTGTTTGTCAGTTTGTCCGCAAAAACTTTAACCTTGCCCATAAATTTTGATTTATTGGAGCCATGACTCTCATATTTCACATGTGTATTACTTGTGACAAGACCTATCTAAATACACTATGATTTTGATCTTTTGACCTTGATCTTGGAGTTTGGCCCACTTTTGCATGAAAATTTTTAAATTTTTATTTTGGCCATATCTTTTGAACAATAGATACCAGGACATTTATACTTCACAGATGTATTGCTTCTTGAATGACCTTTTATTGGATACCTACAATCTTGACCCTTTGACCTTGACCTTGGAGATTTCCGTACTTGTGAAAAAACTTTAACCATGGCCTTAACTTTTGACCAATAATGGATAAGGCATTCATGCTTCACATATGTAATTGTTGTGAAAAAACCATTCATTGGATACTAAGAACTTTGACTCTTTGACCTTGACCTTTGAGTTTGACCTACTTTAAAAAAGGAATCTTGACATAACTTTTTAAGAGTTAAGGCTGGTGATTTCATTCTTAACATATTTAATTCTTGTGATAAGACCTTTCATAACAATAACTTTGACCCTTTGACTTTTGAGTTTGACCTACTTTTTTAAATGATCAACCTTGGACTAAAGTTCTGAACGGTTAGGGCTAGGGCTTCCATACTCTATATAAGTACTCTATGTGGCAAGACCTTTTATTGGATACATATTACCTTGACCTTTTGACCTTGACCTTGTAGATTTTTTTTACATATTGAACAAACTTTAATATTGGCTTACTTTCAAATTTCACAATTGTTTTTCAATGAGAATACCCTACTTTTGGTGTCAATTAGTGAAATTTCCATTTAAGAAAAGTTTAATCTTTGCTATATTGCCATACGGGGGCATCAGTGTTTCCAAACACATATTGTTTCTTATGTATAGGAAGTTACCATCAACATTTTTAAGAGGAACAATTGAAAATCACTTTTATTTGTTTCGAATAGTATGCACCGGTTCTCCACTTTCTGCCTTTGGACTTCATCCGGAGCCATTTCTTTGATAAGCTCACTTTTGAGCCCAGTCTCTCTTCTCTATATATTGGAAGTTTCTAGTATGCCGGTCCAAAATCACGCGATTGCACATGAGCAGTTATTTCCCTTGCCGTTGCTTTGCAGAATGTAAACAACCTAATTTCCCACTCGCTTCAACGAAATGCACCCGATCGGGAGATTTGGGTAAGGTTATATAGTTTTAAAATCGGGGTTGCTTTATAAATCCACGCTTTAATCTTCATGACTTTTGGCTAATTCATGTAATTTTAGCTTTCAAAAAGGAACAACTATGAGAGCTTTTTGTGACCAGAAACTTGCCAAATGTCGAGTGGTGCCGATATATTTTCTTACACTTTGGTTTAGTTCATGAATTTTTTGCTTTACAAAGAATAGAAAATTTTCATGGAAAAATCGGGTGAATCTACTCTTTTAATGTTGAACATGCTCGAAGATTAGGCACGGTATTATAAAAGCAACTTACCGTTAACTGAAGCTTGATATCCTGACCTAGCTCCTTATGTCCATATTCAGAATATTGTTCCTTTCAAATCGATGATGATGCACAATTCGATCAATCAATGACTAGTAATTAGCTATTATTTGTTAAAGTCATGTATTTCTCACAAAAATCTCGTAATTTCAACAGCATTGCACTTTGAATCCTATCAGGTATTTCTTCATTACGTCAAAACACGAGTGACGCATCTCATTATTAATATTTATGAGATTACGTCAAAAATTGATCACGTGATCGCATTCCTAAACAACGCAAGATGGAGTTATTATTCCAAAAAAAAAGTACCGTATAGCGGGTTTTTTGCGGGTGTGAAATTTGGCGTTCTTCCCGCTCAAAGTCATGCCAATAGTTTTGGCGAATTTATTTTAGCAGAAACAGGTTTTTAGCTCTTTGCAGATAAACACTAAGAAGAGTACTAACTATTTTTACGGTTAAAATTTAGCGGACTATCATCAAAACGCCATTATAAACCCAAATTAACACCACGCTTAAAATACACGCTAATCGGTACGTTATTTTAAGAAATCTTTTTTATTCTCGTTCAAAAAGCGTGTTTAAAAAACAGTTTTGCTCTTTTTTACCCAATTTTTCACAAGGAACACAAATTTGGGGTAAATTGTGCAATTTGTGGATTATTTTTCGATTTTGTCGATAGTTAACGCGATCGTTTATATATTGTACACCGCCTTCGGTGGTACCTATTTTAGCGCCATATTTGCAGGGACTGGTATACTAGAAATGACCTTGTCAGCAAATACAATTTATCACTGAGTCATATGCTGGCTGACGTTTTTCATACCAATTGTAAGTCCATTATTTATACACTGAATTGACGTCGGACTTTTTCCGTTATTTCCTGATCATGACAGGGGGCACACGGCGGGTGTGACCGGTCGGAAGGAGATGCTCACTCCTCCATGGTACCTGATCCCACCTCTGATGTTTTGGGGGTCCGTGTTTGCTCTGCTCTTATTTTGTATTGTTTTATGGACTTTAAGAATGAATACTGTTCGTTGTGTCCATATCCTTTCCTATATACTACTAATCCCTTTGGTAAAAGTGAGACTGTGTTAAAAAGTAAGCTCATCCAAGTTTTATGGCCTTTGAGTTGGTTCATGATGTTTCAAATACGATAAATATTACCTCCATTCTTGATTACCTGCTAACATGTGTATGGTACAAAAATATCAGCCTGTGGTATCTTGAAATTTATCTTGTCATTACACAGTAAGAATGAGAGTTGTTTTAACTACAACGAAGGCTGAAAGGTTGGGATTTTCACTCTTTGTGTGGAGCATAATGATCTTTTGCAGCTCTTTTAATACATGTATGAAATTTCACAGATGGGCTGCAATAAACCCCCATCCCCCCGACACACACACGCACTTAAGTTAAACAAAGATTTTAACAAAAGAAGGAACTGGATTTTTGAACACGATTGCCATCTATACTATACACATATATACGAGGGGGTATCAAAACGTTCGTGGACTAGCGCCATCAAATTAAAACCGCTTTAGGTACATCAATGAATTTTTAAATATGTAGTTAGCATAATCTTTTCTATCTATAGAATAAACTACAAATCATAAATTTTATTTTTTAATAAATTAGTTATGTTTTGTAAGCAATGGTATGTCCAGGCGGCGCAACCTCGAAAACGACGTTTTTTCGACATAAGGTAACTGAGGAAAAAACTATTGTGATATGAACATTTGACATCCAAAAATCCGGTTAATTCAGGTGTATGTTGGGACACTATTGTTCAGTAAAATAAGGAATTTTTACCTCATTCTGAAAGTTCTATGAAATTTTATCGTAAATTTTACATGGAGTACCCAAACAAATATTGCTTGAAAATGACGTCAAAAAGGGGGGAGGGTGTCATTCTCCAACATTCTATAAAGTTTTGCCCCTGAAAAGAAAATGGTATAGACCTAGGAAATGTTTCAACTGGCTACGAAGAAATAATAAACATCCAGAGAACTTTTTTTTTAAATGCAAAGTAGATCCAGAGAGAAAAGGAATGCACAGTTAATGTCGATTTGTAGTCAAGGTGTGAAAAATTCATCACGTCAAAATTGACGTTGATCATGTTTTGTAGATATTGAAGTCCAAAAAGAAAAATAAGATGGCACCATCAAGCGAGGATCTTTCCAATTGTATAAATCCATTTGCAATATTATATGCATTAAAAGCCGTTGTTTATAACATTGTAAACTCATATAAACAAGATGGATTGAATCCTAACTCAGCTTAAGGGAATTTCATCAAAATAAGTGTATGAGGTAGAAGAAGCAGACATTGAAAAACAATGACGTTGTTGGACGTCATAAAACTAAACGGCGACAGCGCCGGGTGATGATATAATGTCGTTTTTATTTTATAATAATTTTGGAAATAATGAACGTATCAAGCTAAAACTGTGAACACTATGTTCCATAAAAATTTTGTAAGCTCAAACTACATAGAACTAGTTTTATAGCTTCAGTGTCATGTCTTTAGGGAAAAGGTATTAGAATTGTTTTTATTGTGCTTATATGTTGGGGAATGTACAACTATATTAAAAGACCTGATTTCTGTTATTAGCTTAATTTATTACGTCGTCGCTAATAAAAATTCTTTCCTATCCTTTTCAGATAGTACAGCATTTTATGCTTCTATTACGCATGATGAGATCGGTTATAGTATTAAATTTAACAACGAAGTCCTGGACACAGATGATGATTACTCCAGGTATACAGGGAGTTTTGGCGCCTCGTTCTGGTCTTTACGTTTTGATGATGTCAGGTCTTATGTATGGGGATACATATTCCTTTTACAAGTTTATACTTAGTAACGGAATTTCTCAGGCAAAAAAAAAAGCGTACCCCCCAGTCCGAAGAAAACAACAACGAAAAAAAAATTACATTTCTAAAACTACGGAAGCCTTAAAATTGAATGAATTTGAATCATTTCCAAAGAGTATAAAGAATTTTCTTTAAGAATTGGAAAAAAAAACCTTTTATGGGTGGGATGCATGCGAGTGAGCTTTAAAATAAAGAGTTACATGTTAGTTCCTTCAATAGATGTAGAAATGATCAAAACGGTACAAATATAGCCAACACAGCCAAAGATCGCGAGAATCCAGTATCAAATTAAACCTCGCATATTACATATCATATACAAGATATATAAAAAGATTTTCCACCTTTCTCTCATAAAAAAAGTATAAAAGAGAAGGTGATTGAAGGAAACTAAATGTGTGAGAATCTATCTATGCAATAAATAAGCAAGACGTACAAATATATAATCTTGAAAAAGGTTAACTATCCCCTCTCTCTCTCCACTTGGCAAAAAATAAAGGAGGGGGTTCCATCCCCCCCCCCCCCCGATTCGCCAATGTGTTGCACAACTCAGAATTTTCTCCGATGTGCTTTCTGCGTATTTTCTTTCATGACTATTGTCTTATTAATACCATATCTGAATCATGTACACGTACAGTATATTACACATTATAAGGACCTAATAGTGTTCTGACTAAATAAATAAAATTTGTCAACACCAATTATTTCCATGTACAATTTAAGTTTTCAGTTAAACTAAATAAAACATGCAACTGTTATTTCAAATTCAGATTTACAACGACTCTTTCTTATTCAACAACGACAACAAAATAATTCCATGCAATGATGATATTGAGTGTAATGATGATATTGAGTGTAAAAATATATTTAAAAAGGAAGGAAGAGTAGTTTGAAATAATTTTTTTAATGCATGTCAGGAAAACTGCACAGGAATTAACTCCAACCAAAAGTGAATGACAAAATTGTGAAACCACATCAATGCCAGATCTAAATCCGGAATATGTTTTCATTTATTATAGACCCAGAACCTCTTGCAAGAAAACTGACACTAGTTAAGCTAACAAATCTACATGTACATTAAGTGTATAGACGTATATCCGACATTCTCCTTTCTTGTTATGTTTTGAAAAGATCGATAACTTGACGTTGTTAATGCTTTTGTAACACCCCTCCCCCCCCCCCCCCCAAAAAAAAATTAAGAATATATGTAATAAAGCATATAAAGAAATAAATATTTTAACAAAATTTTGGAAGTTCTGAATAGTATCCCATTCGACATGCACACGTACATTATTTTATCTAATTGCTTGTCAAGTTATCCCCCCCCCTCCTCGGCATCATTGTGTGCTAATGTTAATAGTGAAATTTACATTCAGAAAAAAAAATGCGGAGAGCCTCTCTCTCTCCCCCCCCCCCCCCCCCCCCCATGCAACCCTCCGGATTTTTTTTTTTCATGTGCATGATTATGTGCATGCATGATTGTAATCACAATATTTGTTCACCTGAGTGTAAGTCATAAGACGTCGCGCACGGTGTTGGTGTCAAAAAGTCAAAAATTACTATAACGGCGGCATTTGCGCTATTTCCCTAAGTTTAAAACAATTCACTATATGAAAACCATATATCATTTGGTCGGTAATTGTAAACTAAATACATTTTAACCAAAATTTTGATCAAAAAATTCCAATTATCAAATATATATATTAATTCAATTATTCAATCAATTACGTCAAAAAACGCATGTAGACCGGTAACAGGAGCGTTGCACACGCAATAACAAAATATTGATAATTTCCATAAAACAAACAATACAAACATAAAATTTAGCAAAAAAGTTCAAAATATGATGTATATGATGTAAAGTTATACAATTGTGATGTTGCTCAATCTGAATGCTGTGAAGCCGATGTTTAAAATGCAAGACAGCGATGTAGATAAGCGTTATCCGAAGAAATATGGAAGGAACATGAAAAGTCATCGGTAACGTAAAAAAAATAATTTCATGAGCAAAATCAATTTTGAAATGGCTTGTCAATGATCCTTCTTGTGTGCAAGGAACTATATTTACAATAAGACTGATATTTTGTGTCGATAGGTATGTTAGGTTTCTGATATTAAGCCGATTTATTGTGGGGACACATTGACTAAGACGGTGTGTCACAAAGTTTGGAGGTTCAATGTCGCAAATTTTTTAAAATTCGTAAAATGGCAAATTTTGTAATGCTGGATGAAAAATTGATGCTGAAAATTCTCTTAAATTCTACAAAATTTTGCCATGTTATTAAGGAAAAGATCTCTAGACAGAATTTTAACTTGCGGTGCCTTAAATTTTAATAATAATTGTCGTGTTACATGTATGTACTACATGTAACTATACGTCACATTTGAATTAGACGGCAAAAACGTCACGTTTAAATGCTACACTCCATCTATGACTTACATTTTAAGAATTCATTTTTCTAATTTGGTACCAAACAACGTTTAATACAAAATGTGCAAAATCAAAAGTTTATTTAGATATGAAAATGAATTGTTTCTACAAAGAAGTGTTCGTTTTAGAGGTTTTTTACAATGTCAACATAAATGTCACACATTGTCCAAAAGTAATAAATCTAACTATAATTGTATAAATGTGTTAACATTGATCATATGTGTAGTCATTGAAAATAGACATATTGAAAATTTAAGAATTTTTATGAAATGTGCATTTTTTCAAAAAGTTATTGGTATATTCCAAAATAATTTCAATAGAATGGTAACAAAACCTAACAAAAATTAAATGTCAACATAAATGTCACAGACGTAAAAATTTGGCGTTTTGACGTTATTTGGTTCAATGCATAAAATGTTATGTAAAGCATCAAAATATTTTTTTTTCTCTCTCCAAAACTTGTAACTGCTGATGAGCTGATATGGATGAAAGAAAAACAAACCAATAATGATTAATTGGAGGAATAATTTTAAGTTTTAAAAGTTGTATTTAAATATAAAAGTAAACCATGTGCAGTGTATACTTGTACACTGTATCGGTATATATCCTTGTCAGAATCTGTAAAATTGAACCATTCAGAGTTTGAATTAAGACACGAGAAAAAAATCACAAAAACCAAAATTTATGCAAGGATATGATTTCAAATTTGAATTAACTCACATTAAAATTTGTCAACTCTATTTTATGCTGGTATAAACTGTTCTATTCATGGCGAGTTTACATTGAATAGTCCGATATTGAATAAGGGTTAGGGGTTGTCGGAGTGAGTAAAAATGTATCAGATTTTCATTCCAAGATGGGATGGGACTTTGAATGAAAAAAAATAATTCAATGCTAAATCAGCAACATATCTACAATCGTACAATTTACTGAAAACAAAGGACAGGTTCTAGTGCCTACTGATATGATATGGAATTGTTTTGAATTTATCTCAATAAAATTAAAAGCATGTAGATTTAAAATGCGATGTTGAACAAGTTTCGTTATTTCTACCAAGTTTTTTTTTATTTTTTTTTTTATTTTATTTTTTTTAAACGAGGCAAAACATGCTTATATTTTTCTCCCGCAATATTCATGCAAAAAGGGTCAGAGAATTTTAATTACACGTGTTTTCAATTACCTGTATTATATGTAGTAATTCAGTTTAGCTGGAAAAAAATTGTTTTGTTTACGTAATCATTTATAGGTCACTCATTGTTTATATAACTATTTTTAGACATAGCTACTCGATGCTCCTCGCGAGGATCGGTTAGTTTGACCATTACGCAACTCTTTTGTTTTGAAAGCGATGCTCGTTAAGAGCATCGGCCAGCGGGTATATATATGGGGGGATTTTGGGTCAGTAGAGCCACAGTTTTCTTGGGAATTTATTAGTTTAGTCACTGTTTTACTTGGGAGTTACATGTACATAGACCGTTCAGAAGATAGTGGATTATGTGTAAATATTAATATTGTGATGTGTTTTACGGCCACCTGTCCCTGTAAATGGGTGTTGCTAAAACGCGGAACGGAAAACGGAACAGAATGCGGAACGAACGGAAAACGGAATATGTTTGTATGTATTAAATCAATTAAAATGCACAAATTTTATCATAAACGAGGTATCTTATACATATTCAAGCCCCCACTATTAAATACAAGTTGATTTAGTCATGCTCAGTCTCTTATTTTCGAAAATAGCTGACATAGCAGTGACGTAGAATCTTATTTGAAAGGGGGTGGTAAATTTACCTGAAAAGTATATTACAATAAGGAAAACAAACAAACAAACAAACAAGAAAAAGACAATTGTTTAATTCGGAAGGGGGGATAAGTTACAACTCGAACATCTTTCAGTACTATTTTTACACGAATTTACTACATTAATAACAACTACTAAAATTATTATTTTTCTTGAATAATGGATTAATTTAGCCATTTACCGCTCGACGGCGCTAAAACTGGTGGCAGCTGGAGGATTTTCCTCATTATTAATTATTAAAAAAACAAATGGAAATTGAGCATTAGTATGTACATGCATATATTTGTCATAGGCGTCGGAAGCTGGGGGGGGGGGGCTAAGCAATCCCTCACCACTTTTTTTTTGCAAAGGTATCCGTTGATTATTCCTGTAATCCATTTCTAGTATTTTAAAAACACAATAATTCGAATGGTGTCACTGTATACTAATTTTCCTCCGCAAACTAGCAACTACGAGGGTTGTCCAGTAAAATCGTGGACAAAGCGTTTTTCTCGATAAGTAATGGGCGCACCAAGCTGAAAATTTCAGTAAATGTTTATTGATCATATTTAAGTGCATGATAATTTTTTTGATAAAATACAGGCAAAAATAAAGATTTTATTATGCTTGAATGTGCACGAGGTATTGTCCTACGGCACAGTCAAAAAACCAAGGTTTTATTAAAGAATACACAAGTTTGAATTCAAAATAAAAGTTTTGAATAAATAAGATTTGGATTAAAAGTATCCTAATTCAATTCCACAATCAATTTTGTAGTC